TGGCTCCCAAAAAGCCCTCGAACCAGAACATCCTACCAGCCGGCATGTCAGGCGCCTATTTTGGCCTTAGTCGCTGCCTTCGACAAGTAAGATCTTGTAGCGCGTGTCATCCCAGTCTCCATTTTTTTCTATTTTCCATTTGATTCTGCATTATTGATACCCTGAACGGCATAGAACTCTACATAATTCCTATCCTCCCGCATTCAAAGATTACCCAGTCCGCGCATGTCTCTGCACACACCCTTTAAAGAAACCCGAGCTTGTTCAGAGGGTTTTGAGGCATTGAGTTGGGATCATGCTGAACCCCCTAAACCCTAAACCAAGACCCAAAGGAACCGGTACAGCATCCCTATATTCTCCGCACAGTCCGTGTAGGAGGAACGCCTAGTTCTCTTGAGACTTTGTCTTGAACTGTGGCTTACTGCTGGTTAGTATGGAATTCGGGCATATAGTCCTTGTACAACGTATTCCATATTCCCTACTAATAAGGAATATAGTCCTTATAGGATCCCTTTATGGGCCCTAGCCTACAACCCCATAAGTTTGGGCAGGCTGCCTTTGCATAATTCAAGCAAGTGCTAGCTGGCTGCCCCCAACGGGGTTCGCCAAGTCATACTTCAACCTTGCCCCGCTTAACGGGTTAGTAGCAGGGTAATATAGTATATGTGATTTTAAAGGGACTGTATAGGGATTATTCCCAGGAAGCCCATCTTTGGTAGGCTCCTTGATTGTTTTGATGGCGTTCTTGTATGTTTTGGCAGCCTAGTGCGTGACAAACAGTAAACCCTCCAAGCTCAACTGAGTGGCCGTGTGATCTGAGGTGAACTACTATGCAGGTGCTCCTGACGGCAAGCACACAAAGATGAGTGTGGGGCTTGGAACTCAAAAGCTTCCAAGGCCCTCAAGCAGCTACGGAACAGAAACATCAGGTCAGTTCCAGTGCAGCGAATCTCAATCCTTGAGTTTGAACAACTGCTAACCTCAAACCCTCCGCCCTAAACTTCGAGCAGCTTGTTGGACACCCTGCCTGATCTGGATGATGCCTATCAACGTCTCAAACACAAACGTGAAAAGTATTGCTGGGGAAGGTTGGCACAACGTATGTATGGGTCTCTATACTAACTGTGTCCATGGGAAGCGGCCCTGCAACCTTAGCCTTGTATTTCCTTCAGGATCCTGCAAGTGCCCTTGCCATCGAGAAAGCCATCATCTAAAACAATCTCACATCCCCATTTGGGCGAGTAGATTGAGGTGAGGAGCTTGTTCGATCGGTCCACCTCTTCTCTAAAGAGCCCATCATTGTCTTCCACCTCGGAAGCCTCACTCCGGACTCGCGGCAGAACAAGTTTGGGATTACGTGATGGCTGAAGTAACATGGAACTCTTTAAACGATGGTTCATTGGAGATTATTTTTAGAAGACCTCTCTTGGGGTTCCATTTTAGTGTGGGTGGATCTATTCAACCCTCCGCCTTCTCCTTCGACGATTTCATTTGGGGATTTCCCAAAATTAGGGATACCATGTTGGGGGTCCCCATAACAAGGATGATAGTATCAAGGGATATAAAATTTGGGTCCCCCTATTTTGGAACAAAAACTACCATGTGTGGTTGGGTTTGCCAGGGTCAATGGCTAGCAATGTTCAGCTGTCGACTACATCGTTGATATGGACCTTTTTTCAACTCCCTTCCTGACAGTTGCTGCTCAAATACCAATACAGCAAACAGTCTCAGGTATGCAGGTTCTGCAATTATTCACATGTAGGACCAGAAACATCAGGGAAGCAACTCAGACGATTGCAGTCAGATCAAGTGTCATACAGGCAGTCCAACATCGCTAGCGTCCTAGCTCTTTCTAGCATACATGGTCGCCATGTTTGGAAAGCACATCCTCAGCAAAGTTGAGGAAGCAAACATGACTTGAAACCACATCCTGGAGCCCGCGCAAGACGTGTAAGGCATTATAGGGTATGATTACGTTCCATTCTGACTGATGTGCAGACACAGGACGATTGGACAGCAAGCCGCTTTCCAAGACTGCTCTTGATGTCCCTGGGATTCCACGCTTGATTGCCTGGAAGGATTTTGGGTGCACAGGTCGGTTTGCATTGAGAACAGGTAGCTATACTCCATAGGGTATGGGCACTTTGGACCCATGTATCGTGCGGTGCTGGACCATCAGTGGAGGACACGGATGCACAGCAATGGCGCATTTCTCCCGGTTTGAGCAAATCCTGAACCCTGCAGAAATGAGAGTCGAAGATTGTCACCTGAACCCCAAGCAGAGCACTTGCAGCACTCCCCTTAAGTAGATAGAATAGGGAATTACCAATTACATGATAAGATCCCCATATACCCCAGATTATTTCTACTTAAGGGGGACTATTGTATAGACTGTGTGTGTCCTGTCAGAGTGGAAAGAGCCCCGGGCCCAGTAAAAGAATTAGCCAGGCCAATTGGCCCTTTCATGCATTCCTTTGACGACTTATAGTCCCCCTTGAGTAGATAGAAAATGGTGTATATGGGATGTACTTAGAGGAGACTCTGTGTTCTATGAAACTCTTATCTTACTAGTGGTGAGTAGAAATGAGGGAATATATCATATAGCGTTTACATTCCCTGTCTCCTGCTAGCCGCTAGTTGAGTTATATTTCCTGTACACAAAAACGAAGATTGTTGATCATGATGAGTCCACACATAAAGCTGCCTGTGGGCAGTGCTTTCGTTCTGAGATTGGAGGGTCTAGGCCCAGTGGGAGGGCTGCCTACTCTATAACATTCGAGTAGTATTTTATTTGGGGATACTATGGTACCCATCATAGAGTAAGATTCTATCCTCCTTGGGGTATAGTATTTTTTTAGGAGAATAACCTACTCTATAACATCTCTTCCGGACGGGTCCAAGTCACTATAACATCTCTTCCGGACGGGTCCAAGTCAGCTGACTGTCGTAGCGTTACTGTCGCTAGTATCACTACTATTACTATTCCTACACAAAGTCAGAAGGGGCATGGGTCAGTGATGAGATTGAGCAGTCAGGATCTTCCCTGGTCTTCCCTTGACAGGACCATCCCCAGCCTGTTTCTGAATCTCACTTTGTAAGGTCTCATCCTACTGTCTACTGACTCTTAGTAGGAAATAAGGGAATGTATTATATAGGGAGTATTCGTCCTTATGCCCTATGTTGAGAATCAGTAAGACTAGCGACTCCTTCTGCAGCTTGTTTCTCAGCGTTCTTTCCAATGTGATCCATGGTCTCATATGCCAATTGAGAGTTTGCGTTGGAAGGTGTTTAGTGTGTCTTGAGGCAAAGCAAGAGATCCCTACATAATCCCTATGTGTCCTTATTCATAATCCCTATATGTCCCTCTATAATCCCCATATCCCTATATTATAGAGGACCCCAACCAAGAAACCAGGTAGCCCAACCAGCGGGTTGCAGAGATCCTCGTGGGAAAGACTTTCAACTCTATGACATGCTGATAACAGTTGACAACGCTTTTCAATCCCCACCTCCGCAGTGTAAATTTCATGGCAGTTCTAGCAATACTGGCTAAACAGTTTGAAGATCAATGCTAAAAAACTTATGAAATATTCAAGCCTCCGGATTTTCCGTATACCTGAACCCAACCTGCAAGCAAAACGGCCGTTCCGCATGGTACCTCGACGATGACAAGATCCCAAAGCTCCCTGAAACCTCCTAAGCTCAGGCAAACACCAATAACGGGTATCTATTACCCCCAATGATGGATAATCAAATGGAAAAGAAAATGGAAAATGAAATGGAAACTGGGATTATATAAGGCACCTATCGCCTTTGGGACCAGCAGTTCCTCGTAGCTGCGCGGCTGCACATGTGAGGGTGTAATTTAGTCATGGTCAGTGTTTTTGGGGGCTCCTTTCAGGTACCGTTTTTCGTGGGAAGTACAAAGTGACCCAGTCTGCATCATATGTGTCTGTGGGCTAAGTTGGGAAGTGGACATGCCCTAAACCCTAAACCTGGATGAATTCCCACCCAATGGGAGCTCCAGTCTTTCAGCTACTGGGGTTGTACCGCCTTTGTTTCGTTACAGAAAAGGCTTTGTTGTTTTGATGAGCCCCTTGCCAAGACCCTAGTTGGTGGTCAAAATCCTGTACCCCATACACGCCATAAACCCCAAATAGTAGTTTCCATTTTTCTTTTCCATCATCCCTATGTAACCATATAACCCCAATATATCCCCTATATAACCCCTATACACGCCCCCCCTCTCTGCATCACTTCTTACCTCTTGTGCACCTGTGTGGATAAGCGACTACTTAGCTTGCGTTCGTGACGAGGTCTTGCCTTACAAGGATTGAAGCCCTATAGACCCTAGACCCCCTAAACCCTAAAACCCCCTAAAACCCAGCCTTACAAGGATTGAAGCCCTATAGACCCTAGACCCTCTAAACCCTAAAACCGCCTAAGCCCCAAACCTCTGAAGGCTTCAACTTCAACAAGATCCGCACCTTCCTCCTGGCCCGTGTGCGCGTGGGCGTTGAGCTGGACTCGGATCAGTTTGTGGCTCCAGGCTTATGTGGGTATCCTTTAGGGTTTAGGGTGGATCAAACTGTTCCACATGAATCCTTGAGGAAATCCCTACACTAGAATCTCCATCTAGTCCCTACATAGAACCCGGGCATCCCTGAGCGTTTTCTGTTTTCAAATACCCCAGGTATAGCAAGCCTGCAAATAAGGATTGACAAGCCATGAGGCAGGCGGGTATCATGCTGAGGCTCAGTAGAACTTCACAGCAAAGATTCTCTTTTCTCGCAACAAAGAGGGAGACCTAGATGCACCGCAGGTGGGGAGGTTTCTTGCCACCGGGCCGCGCGGTTGGCCCGAAATCGTGCAGTTTCTGACATGTATTCAAATTCGGAAAATCCCTGCAGCTGTTCTGCGGTCAATGTGTACTAAGAAGGATGCCCACTGCAGATGTGCAACAAGCGACAGTGGCTAGAGTTGCTGCAGGCGTGGACTACATGTTCAACATGACACAAAGGGAGGTTACCAGCGAGTATCCGATTCCAATCCTGCCGGTGCACTACTTCAGCCGCCAGAGCCGCATTGCTTCTCTGCTTGGGTTTCTTTGACAAGTTCAGAGGGCATGTTGGCATCGGACTGAAGTGATGGGTCAGAGTTTTCCAACGTGTGACTTCAGGCTGCGAACTCAAGGCTTTGGCGGATGTTTTGCATGCTGAGTGCAGCTCACCGTCTCATTTCGTTGATGCCATCCCTCCCGAAGCAAGTTTCCACCTCAGCATTGCCACAATGGTACTACGAAGGGGTAGCTACTGGTGCTTACAGGGACTTGGGGAGTGAATGCAGGTACTATTATAGGGGTATGTATGGGGATTACATGGGGCTTATTTTAGGGATCCACTCCCCCTCAAGCACCCGTGAGTTTACTTGTCCGAATATTGTAGAGTTTTACCACCCCCTAAACCCAAACCCTAAACCTGTTTCCTGCGTCTGCAAGGTTTCACTCAGCGGGATGCGCCGTCCAATATCTGGTGGCGCGGGAGCCCTAACCATTTGAGCTGTAGAGTTTAGGGTTTAGGGTCCAAACTCCCGAAAGGGGGGGTATGTAGGGTTTAGGGTCTAAACTCCTGAGAGAGGGTATTACGGGATCATGTAGGGGAGTGCTATGGGGGTTTTTAAGCGGGATGCTAGGAGTTTCGACTGTAGCTATTTTGGGAGAAGTTTCCCCGGCAGGCCCGTACAAAATCATCTTCCCCTAATCATAACCCCCCCAAATATGGTAGGTAACATTATGTATTAGGGGGAATATCTATTTTCAGGGGGGTTGGGGGATCTATTAAGGGGATTAATTCTTAAGATGACCCTTAGGGTATCTTCATATTCACCGCACATAAGGTTTAGGGTTTAGTGTGATTTCGCTATGATAACAAGAGAGCACCCTGCGTTTGCGCATGCGTCTTGGCATAGTTGACCTGCTTAGGGCCGGGATTCTTGGGCTGTAGGGTTGGGGAGCTTTGGTCTAAAATGCAAGTTAGGTTGGGCCTGAACAGACACCGTAATGTAGAAGCCTGAGTAATTGCCAATATACTGCTTCTAGACTCCCAGATTGAAAGGAAATTGGTGATTATGTAGGCCTCTGCAGGAAGTCGCTGAAGCAATCCCGACCGTAAATATCAGACTGAGGCAGCCGCATGTTCAAGATATCCTCCAACATACTTGGGCTCTTCAACGGACCCAAGAAACCCTAAACCCTTTGCTGTTTGCATGCCGGCTGTGGCAAACAGGAACGCTTGAAGAAATTCGAAATCAAGGTGATAATGCTGTGCCATGGTTCAGTGTTTAGGGTTAGGGTAACTTGCTACTTCGCACAGGGTGCTGGATAACTTTGGCAGATCAAGATTGCACCTCCGTCGCATGGGGGTGGCATGTGTATTTCTGAAAGCCAGGGTTCCTTGCTATACTGTCAAGATCAGTATTGGACTTTTGTTCTAAGGTCATCCATGTCACATTCATGTTTCATCCTTGGAAACTTAAACATCTGTACCTTTCCAAAACCTCTAGACTATGGCCTTATACAATCCTAGCAAAACCCGAAGAAGCCTGCAAAGCCCAATGTTCGGGAAAGCTCCAGGTCGCTTCTGCACGGACCCGCCTAAGTGCCAGCGTCACTCCATGCGCTGGAGCCACGCCCATCCAACCTGGACCTTCTGGGCACTTCCCTGGATAGGCTCTAGGGTTTAGGGTTTAGGGTTTAGTGATGAACCAGAGGGGTTGCGGTTTGCCCCTTAATCGTTTTAGGAAGAGCAAGTTCCTTAATAGTTGTTTAGGAAAATTGGTTAGATACACGGTTAGGACTCAGTGAAATGTAGTCACCAATTCTTTTCATTGTCGCCTGGGGGGGGTAGTGGGGATGGAACGGATATAGGCTGACATGGAAGTCGCCGTTGCCAAGAACCGGCATCCCGTTATGTCCGCCTTGTTGACACTTGGTAGGATCTTTGATTTCGTAGAGGCAAAATTATGAAGCCTAAGCCTTACAAACTATAGGAACATTAGGACTGGAACGCCCAATGCCAAGCAGACATTTCGGGACTCACTTCTTTAACCCCAATATGCTACAGTCCTTGTTGTAGGGGACCCTCAAACAAGGACACTTAATTCTGGAAGTCCTATTTCGGGGCCTGCGTGAGAATAACCGGGGAGCACACGTGCCACGTCAAAGCTGATGCAAGATGGTCCCGGTGACAGGCAAATGGCTCCGGCGGATCCTACGAGATGAGACGCTGCCGGACGGAGTTTTTGTGGCCCTGGCTTTGTGCTTGGGATTCTGCTCAGGGTTTAGGGTCGTCACTGCGTGCAAAACCTGCATACACATGGCGTTATTTGACAACCAGTCCTTCCAACGAGAAGCAGTTTCGGTTTATGACATCAAAAGTTTTTTGAGCCTCTAGCCGCCCTGATGTACATGGATCATAGCATCACCAAGAATCTCACGCCCAACGCGTCCCTGTAACCAATCCATTTTATGGAGACAACTGCCATGTTCTATAGGGATGCTTTCAGGGAACTTGAACTTAGCTATCAGAATATGCACAGATGTTCTGTGTCGTAGAACATGTGGTTTTCCCATGATGGTAACTCAATGTTCGTTCCTTGCAGCTCACACTTTTTACCTGGTTGGCATTTGGGGTGACATTTTGCTTTCTATTTCATCCTCCATAATGACAGAGGCAACCTAGTCTAGCAACCTCCACAGTTCTGTTTTAGAACTGTGCAGGGAGTGCGCTCGTTGGGTGACCCGCGTTGAGGAAGGAATGCCTCACGTAAGACCTTTGCAGATGCTTGCTGGTACCGTCTGAGGCCTAACTTTCACAGGCCGTGCCGTCATTTGTTAATTTAAGTTTTGCTGGAGTAGAATCCGGCTGAGCCTTACTTCTTTCAACAACCTGATCAGGATTCCAACTAAACCCTACTTGCGATCAGTATGGAAGCAATGTGAGTTTTGAAGGAGGCGCCGCACATGGGTGCCCTCCGGGTGGCGGACATTCCGGAGGTCTGCAGTTTGCCTTGATCTTGAGACCTATGCCATTTTGCGGCTACACTGAGACCATGAGTGTGAGTGCTGGATGTTTTCCTTGTTTTGATAAGTTGTTAGCCTTGCTCCCACTGCATCATCATCTTTTCATTGCCGTTACTACATGTTAGTATTTACAGTCTCATGACATTGGCTTTTAAAAAACTGGGGCGGCATTTTGCCAAGAGCTAGGTTTAGAGCCTTGGAGGAACCGGTTTTCTACAGTAGGAGCGCATGGGGCATGGCTATTCCTGACACTAGAATTCCCTTTGACCAAATGCACAGCCTTCGTTTGAAGGATGCCGACAAGTCCCATGACGGTTGGGTTGTAGGTTTAGGCTGTGGAAATGGGGCCTTCAGCAGGACGAAGACATGCTGAACGTGGCTGCTTGGGAGGACAAGGCCTGAAAGATGAGTAGGTTGGACGGGTTGTGACTGAAAGTAGTTGGACGACCTGTGTCCCAGCCAGGTTACGAAGCAGTGGTGCAAGTTTGACAACGATGCTCGGCCGTCATGCTGTACGGGTGGAGGCATAGCTTAGAGATTGAATTTGTGTGCATGGTGAGCTGTGGTCTGCCTAGCCAAAAATCGTGCCACAGTTGCTGGCAAGCTGCGGTTTGCAATGTTCCCTTGTAATGTTGACGTGCTCATAGGACCTAGAAGGCGCACCACGTTGTCACTTGTACAGGTCATAGGATGCAGGCAAGTCCGGCCTCCTTTGTTTTTGTCAGACTCCAACCAACCAATTTTCAGAATTGCAAGGACCGCACAGAGTTTGAGGAGCCGCCCGGATTGAATGAGAGATTTTTTTGCCAAAGGAACGAGATATATCCAGCCTTAGGGCCTTAGAGGCACTCAGCGTAAGCGTATATGGTAGTTTCCTTGAAGAGGGGGACCCCAATATAGACCCCAAAATATTATTGTCCTTATGATAGGTACCCACAAAAAGGTATCCCTAATTTTGGAAAACCCCCATATTCCTACGTCAGTCTTGCTTAAAACTCTTCCCCAACGCCGTTTCTGAGGATGATTCGCTGGGAGCCTGGCGGCCGGGCAGCATTGGAAGAGCTTCTCTGTTACGGTTTTGGTTGCTCTGACTGTGACTATAGCTAATTGCTATTGCTATTACTATTACTACTACAATTACTAGGAGTATTACTATTATTATTTCTATTGCTGGTATTAGTTGTTCAGTCACTTTGATCCCATCCCAAGCTCTGTAAATCCATCAGCTTGGTCGTGGTTTTGGCGTCTGCGGTGCGAGCTCGTGGAAGCTTGGGCGTTCCGAAGGAAGGCCTCTGTCGTGAAAACGCTACCCAACCCGCATAGAATCCTGGTATTCTTCCAAAGATTGACGACCCCGAGCCCTGAACCTTTTACTAAAAGCATTCTCAGGCAACGCAAACAAATGTCCCTCGGGCACTGGCTGCTCCAACATTATGGCCGATGCGCGCTTCTACCCCAAGGGCGCCGCCAAGGCCGTAGCAAGCTTGCACAGTCTCATTGGGTAGTTTCCATTTTCTTTTCCATTATCCCTATAGAACCCCAATATGATCCCTATAATAATCCCTATAATCCCCATAGTTTCCATTTTCTTTTCCATTATCCCTATATAACCCCAGTATAATCCCTATAAGAATCCCTATAATCCCTATAGTTTCCATTTTCTTTTCCATTATCCCTATAGAACCCCAATATGATCCCTATAATAATATAGTAGTTTCCATAGTATCTCATTGGACTCTGCAGGTTGGGCGTGTCTTGCATCTTGGGACCAGGGCTCTGCACCACAGAATAGTAGCAGTGCAATCTGATATGAACCATAAGTCTAAACTCCTTAAAGGGGGTTATAAGGGGGATTATATAGGGGACTATTATAGGGGATATTAAGGGGGATACTAGGAGTTTAGACAGTAGCTCACATGCATTCAAAGCGGGGGTTCCTGCTGCTAATATTCTGACTCTTGATGCTGATACGACTGCTGCTGCTACCGCTCCTGCTTCTGCTGCTGCTACTACTGCTGCTACTGCCACTCCTCCTGCTGCTGCTACAAACCAAAGATTATGCGAATGATCTAGGATGAAGCCTGACGAAGTATTCTAACAGTGATAGTACAGCAGGGCTCAAGGAAAGATAGGAACAGAGACAGCTGAATTGTTGTCGCTTTGGTTGGCTGATGGCCTATAGAGAGGTATTTAGGGTGCAGGGCAAGTCGGTCCTCCCCATGCTGCATTGAGAGTTACTGAGACAAGTCAAGAGAATGACATGCAGCCACAGCATGAAAGCTGAGGCAAGTCTGCTGGCAGAAGCTAAGCTAGTCTTGTTGGTATTGTAGTTTCCATAAAGAGGGCGACCCCAATATAGACCCCAATATACTATAATCCTTATGATAGGTACCCCTAATTTTGGGTAACCCCTACAATGCTAGTCTTGTTGGTAGCGAGGCTAGGTCTCATGGCAGGCTGCTTGTGGAGGTCTTTGCACCTGCCTGAAAGGTTGTTCCCTGGACCCTTTCCTCTCATGTGAGCGGGGCTATATAGGGAACTATATTGTGTTCCTATTATAGGGCTTGTCAAGGGGGATACTAGTAGTTTAGACTATAGCTCATATGACATGGCCCCTGCGCAGGCGCACTTTACGGCGCACAACGCCAAAGATCCCGTTGAGACCAAAAGGCCTGAAGTAGAAGTGTCAGATAGCTGACAACATTCTCACCCGCAACGCACACGACGGAGTTCAGGGAAAGCCTTCCCAATGCGAAGATGCAATAAGTTTTATGAGGGATTATGAGTGTACTTCAGGTAAAAGCCAGTCCTTACGCAGACAAAGCAGCCTGCGCTGATGTTTTTCGTGCACTGTGGGCTCAGCGTCCCGCTGCCAGTTCCATGGAATGATGAGCAAGCAATAGAGTGGGAGAGGTGGAAGTGTATCCCTTGTTTGGCTGTTTCAGCTCGCACTTTGGCTTTGTTTGAGCCTTGGACGCTTCCCTTTCACAACTCAAGTCCACGTCAAAATTGAACCCTCGCAGATGGATTGATCGCATCCATGAGCGGTACAAGAAGGGCCTCTACCCGCCAAAGATCATCATCTATCAGGCAGTGGAAACATGGATTGTGGGGTAGCTTTGCTTATCCACATCACATCATCTACCACCTCTCTATCTTCCTCTACGCTTATTACAGAGGCGGCTAGTCCTTGCTACTAATGTTACCTACTGCTGCTGCTTCTGCCGCCGCTGCTACCGCTACCTCTACCGCGACCGCTACCCCTACCCCCACCCCTACCGCCAACGCCGCCGCCACCACCACCGCCACCACCAGTAGCTGCACTAGCGCCAGCACCAAGTCCAGCACTAGCACAAGCACCAGCCGCCGCTGGCAGCAGAAGCGGCACCCTTGCCAATACCGCTACCATGTGCCGTTGCTACAAATAGGAATGCGTATAACGTATAACAACAAAACAGCTACCACTACATTAGTCACTACATCACATCTGCTGCGTTGAACGTGACTTCTTCCGCATATCCCACAGCAAAACTCAGACAGACTGTGCAGTCTGAACTTTGTCAGATCAACTTTGCACGCCTGTACTGGAGTTTGAGTTGCCGAGCACTGTAACAGGAAGTTCTCATGTCCTTATTGTGATGAGGCCTACATCGCGGGTGCGGCATGTGTACATATATATATATACATACATCTCTTTCTTAACACCAGCCCGTTGCTGACTTCTGGTGCTCAAACTGTTCCTTTATCATTCCTTGTTCGCCATTCCTGCAGGGAAAGTTCTTCGCAAACGGCGAGGAGCTGCGAGAAAAGCATCCTGAGCTTCCTTGCTTGCTTTGACCTCAACGCCCGCGGCGGTGATTTGGGGTTTGGAAGGAACTTCTGGGTTCTAAAGGGGACACCCTAAACCCTAAACCCCCACAGGGTTCCACAACGACTTTAATGCCTGTGGACATGATTTGGGACCTCTTGGGTCTGGAAGCTACCTTGCTCCTCCTAAAGTGATCCGGAGAACATGGGAGAGCTTGGAGGAAACGAGCCATAGCTTAGACCTACCACTTGGGGTTCAGAGTTTAGGGTGTGCAAGTCATCCGAGGAATGGGGATGTGTCAGGATCTCAGGCTTCATCAGCTGCACTTGTGTAGAGGCTTGGATAGTGAGGAAAAGGTTTATAGTCCCTAGATGGCGCATCATGGCTAAGACTAGGTGGTTGTTGTTTCCAGTCACGAGTTGTATCACGTGACTCTGAGCAATAACCCGGGCACCCGCCACCAATGGGCTTCTCTGGCTCGCGGTTAGCATTAAGGACCCATCCCTCCATTACCTGCTAACCGCATGTAAGACATCCACAGAGAGCATCAAGAAGCTGGCCTCGTCTTGCGGAGGTTGGGTCAAGGGGAGGGTATAATAGTAGTAGTAATAATAATAGTCATAACACCAGTGATCATAGTAACAGTACTATCAGTAGCAGCAATAGCAAGAATAAGAATAATAGTAATAATAATAGTAATGATAATAACAATAGTAGTAATAATAATAGCAATCATAAGAATAATAATAGCAAGGGATAGTGATCGTGCGGTGGGATGCCCAAGACGGGCACCTTGCAGCGTGCCGCAACCACGTCCCAAAATGGGGAGTGATCAGACATTGTACACCCCTGTGGCAAGTGCGGAGGTTCTGGAACGAAAGAGTCGTCTGGGGCGTGGCGAGTTCCACATACTATTGGTATCTTGTTTTCTGGGCGTGATTAGAGGAAGAAGGTCTGCCTCAAGCCAGCCCGAAATTAAGCTGAACTGATGGCACGTTTGACCATGATTGGTTTGCATCCTTTTGCATCACAAGTCATCATGTGCCCCCAGAGAGATTCCCGTGTTGAGACAGTGACAAGACCAACATGATCACGACATGATGCCGGCACGATCTCTGCACCACACCCTATTCCCAGCGAAGACTTCAAGACCCATCGCTGGAAGCCAATCCTGACTGAATTCTGGATGCTAGTCCTCAAACATGCCCGCTTTCTCTTGCAACCTTGTACGCAGAGTGGTCGGCGCAGCATGATGACACTTACCTGGGCGTTTCGAAAATGTTGGGCGTCTCATTGGGAACCCCTATACTGAGGATTGCTCTATATTGCGGTCCTTCAAGCGGCCCCTTGTTCCGCCAGGTGTCTGTGATCAGCAATGTGTCGGCAGACTCAGCGGACGTGGCGGCTCTAACCCATACTATATAGTAGTTCCATTTTCTTTTCCATTATCCCCTCATATTCCCTAAAATCCCTATAGAACCCCTATATATTACTAAATAGTTTCCATTTTCTCTTCCATTATCCCTATATAACCCCAAAATACTATTCACTCAAATAAGGACCTAAACCCTAAACCCTAAACCCCTCAAATGATGACCATCCTTCTGGTCCCTGTCATGCTAAATCCTTCGTTCGGTTCTATCTTACCGCAGATGAATGCCCTGAAGCTACCCCGTAGACCCTATATAGCCCATTATTAGCAGTTTCCATGCTCTTTTCCATTAGCCCCATCTAACCCCAATGTAACCCTAGTGTTACAGTAGTTTCCATTTTATCTTCCATTATCCCAATATAACCCCAGTATAATCCTAGTATTACAGTAGTTTCCATGTCTTTTCCACTATCCCAGTATAACCCCAGTATGACCCTAGTATTACAGTAATTTCCATTTTCTTTTCCATTATCCCAATATAACCCCAATATGACCCTAGTATTACAGTAGTTTCCATTTTCTTTTCCATTATCCCAACGTAACCCTAGTGTTACAGTGGTTTTCATTTTCTTTTCCATTATCCCAGTATAATCCTAGTATTACAATACTTTCCCTTTTTTCCATTATCCCAATAGAACCCTAGTATTACAGTACTTTCTCTTTACTTTTCGGGATAATGCTAGTATAACGGTAGTTTCCATTTTCCTTTCCATTATCCCAATATCACCCTAATGTTTGGGCTGCCCAGCGGCAAACTTAGCAATCGATCTTGTGGAAGCAGCTTTCGGAACATGAGCGGGAGGTGTTGGCTACTGCCCCCACTCATTAACAGTTGGATAATATTTATGATCTAGTCATATAGAGCCCTTAATATGACCCCTATTGTAGACTGTTAATGGGTGGGGGCAGGATCCAAGGTAGGTGTTTCATGCGTGCGCCAGAGTGCAAGAATAGTCTCCTATAGCATTGTAGCCTCTCTTTAGGAATTACTTTTTAAATTATGATATAACCCTAAGGAATTACTAAAGATAGTACCTGTATTAGGAGTTATTCTTAATGTTAATTATAGTATAACCCTGAAGAATTACTAAAGATAGTATCTGTATTATAGGTCTAAGGAGACTATAGAGCACGGGTTTCTCAAAATCGAAAGATTTCACACGCACTCTTTGACCGTGGCTAGCAGGTTTTGTTAGATTCCATTAAGGCGTTGTGTGGTATACATTAAATGTATACAAATTGTGTAAAAGCAAGTCTGGAGAAGCGAAGTTTCTTTTCAGAACAAGCATTTTCTTGTTCTAGCCCAAGGGACTTTTTTGCCAAATTCAAGCTCGTAAGCCTAAAGCCCAGGTGGAGAAGTAAGCGCAAGAAAACGTGATGTAGAAGTCTGAATGGCTGCAAATACTCAAGCACCCTCAACTCGTGATACTCACACTAGATGAGTCCCAAGGCCTTTTCCTATTTTTGGACTTACGTTTGGGAGATGGAAGTGCCTAGCGGGCCTAGCTCAACATTCCGCAAAGCTATGGAGGTTATGTCAACTAGAACTTGTCACGCAAGGCGGGTGGAGCGGCTCACAAGATCTTGCTGAATGTCAGTGTAGTATTTCTGCTCATAGACATATGGTTCAAAAACCAGCTATGCGATATATGAGCAGTCTGGCGTGTGGCAAGAACCCGAGGTCGCGTGAAGAGACACCCAGCAAAGAACGAGAGGACCGTTTCCAAGTGAAACCTCGCCGCTACAACAGCAGAGCAAGTGCAGTTTGATCAGCTGGCGGAAGTGCTGTGTGCAAACCTTTTGCGCAGTCCTGGTGGAAAGCGGCTTCCGTTGACGATGTGAAAGACGATGGCCCGGGCGTGCAAGTGTCGTTTGTCCTGAGTTTGGGATTTCAGCGGGAACCAGCATTACCAACCAGGGGGTGAATCACCGCATGTCACTTCTGAAGTTCCAGTGATGTTTGAATGATAGAGTTAGGCTTCTTGACCGCAAGTGTCTGATCATTTGGATATGATGAGGTCTAAGCAGAACCAGTTCGCTGATCCAACATGTAGCTTGACAGCCTCAATTAGTTGACTTGTAAGTAGTTATGAAGTGGATGCCACCAACTGACCCCACATCCACCACAAGATTGCAGGGAGCACTTCACCACTGCGATCCCCCCGAGCCCGCCGGGAGGGCAGATTGGCCAGGGCCTCAGAAAGCAGCTAATTATTGGAAATGTTTCCCAAGCCAAACCTTGGGTGTGGAACAGGCTTGGGCGGCTCTGCCGTGACAGAGACTTGTAAAGTAGGAAAAGAACTGCATGGGCTGCAATATTTATGACAAAGCTTTTTGGGCGGATACGGGTACAAGGCACTCGCGATAGCTATGTGACAAGAGATTGCGACAAAGGGATGTGTAACGGGGGCTCGGGGAAGGTATGATTTCTTGAAGGGTCCCCAAGGGGCCCGCTACTTCAGACCCCCAAACAAATCTGGATCCTAGCTTTCAATCAATTAGATAGGAGGAGAGTTTCCGGAGCTTGGAATATGTTTTAACTAAATTCAGTAGGGGGAGGCTTTCCGGAGCTCAGAATCTGTCTTAGATTAAGTAATAGGCGGAGGGTGTCCTTCGCTCGCAATGTGTTTCAATCGAATTCAATAGGAGGGTGTCCTGAGCTTGGAATC